CCCCAAAACCCCAAAACCCCAAAACCCCTTAAAGCCTTCATAAAATAATTAGAATGTAAAAAAAATAAATATTTATAATGAAAATCGCTATAATCATAAATTAGCTCTCGAATATTTCAAATAATTTTTAGATTCATTAGTATTATAACTTTTTTATTTTATTGATTTAGCCAGCGCTTATAAATCATGAGATTCAACTTCACAAGCAGTCATTTATATTAAGTAATTTTCTGAATCGCATGATAATCTTTAGTTTCTACTAATATTCTCTCTTTTTTTATCAATTATTTTCACTTCAGGCTCCTTTGGAAATTAACACTGCAGTCTTTAAAGCAAAGACATCTTTGCATTTTAGTTCTTTATTTTATCCTACCAGTCTTTTAGTTTCCTCTTAAAAACCCCTCTAATAAGGTTACTTTCTAATTATTAGAGTTTTCTACCTTCAAATGACTACATCATCTTCTTTAGCTTCCCATAAGTAACCAACCTTACCATTGGATTTGAATGTTCCATTAACCTTAAAGTATCTAAATTATTGTCATCAGAGTCTGAAGAATCAGAACTTGTCTCAAGTAAATTTTGTCTTTAAAATCTCAAAAGCATTCTATGTTGCTGATTTAACAATGATTATGAAAGCAGCTTGAATTTCCTCAGAGTCTTTACTAGTTGGATAACATCCAACTCCATCTCCACTTTTTATTTGCCTTTTTAGAATAAGTAATGTTTCTTGAACTCTTTTTAATGTCTTAATTAACTTAGATTTTTAAGACATAATAGCTTCATAACATACGTACAAATATCTTTAACTGAGTACTTAAATCTGATTCTATTTATAAAAGCATGCAATAGATTATTAACATCTGATTATGCTATAATACTTCTTCCTTTAATGAATTGGCTAGCGATTGTATCTCTTATTTTCAGAGAGAACTACTTATATATTAAGGACTTTTGAACTTCTCTATCATTCTTTATTAAATCTGATTCTGTTTATTATATGGCTTAATTAATTTTTTATACAGAAGATGATGGTTTAGTAACCTCTTCACAATTCTATGTTTTTGCCGATTTACTTTGTTTTGATCTTTGAATTTATTTGTTATTAGAATTTGGAATTCTATAAGAATATGATCAAATATCTTTCTTTTGAGATTAATTCTCTTGATTTTTGATGTTCTTATCATTTTTCTCGTTAGTTTTTTACTCAGATATTCCTTAGCCTAACTTTTAATCCTCATCATCAGTATCAAATTTCTTTCTTACTTAGTAGATTTTATGCATCAAATCACTAAAAAACAAATGACTAGCAATTTATCCAACAATTAAGAAACCTATTGTAAATAAAGACCTATAAAGTCCTCCAATATCACCTAAAAATTCTAAAATGGAGTATATTTTTCTACTATATCTATCGTATTTGTTATCGAATCTCATGTAAACTGCAGCGATATATCCTTCTAAATCAGAATAGCCATCATCGTAACTCCTTTAATTTGAGATTTAATGGAATTCAAGTGCATTGAACTGACCAAACTATAAATAACTATCTTGAGTCTCTGCTTGTTGAAGCTGAATGTAAATATTCGATTTTTTTATCTTCTAAGCCTCCAGTTCAAGAAAAAACGAGTCATCTATAAATTTCTTAATGACATCTTTAGAGTCGTAATCATTAAAGTCAAAGTAAGTATTGATGAAAGCAAAATTGAAACTTTCTCTCTCAAAATACTCGTCAATCTTCTACTTGTCCTGACAAACAACTGGAGATGATGAATTAAGACATTTCCATAATTTAATTTCCACATATTCAAAATTCTACTGATAGAAGTTCCCTTAAAATTGATAGTTATCATCGACTGTGCATAAGTAATTAGAAATTCCTTTCAATACAACTTCTGACTGATTCGTATAGTTGAAATACTTATCTTGGCATTTGTCCAATTTTAAATTTTTTCTTATCTTGTCCTTAAATTTCTTACCTGTTGAATCGATTTAATCAGTCTCGTATATTCCTATTTATCAAGCAGTAAAGTAGCCAATCGTCGGATCAAGTTCAGAATTGAGTCCAAATGCGAAGTCAAAACCGAATTCCTGAGGTTTAAATACTAAACCATCACTCATCGATCTAATTTGTGAGACCTTTGAAATGTTGGCATCATATTTCATGAACAAGTAGTAAGCTTTGAATATACCAAAACCCAATAATACCATTAGTATAATTGTAGAAATTACTGCCCCAATAGTTGTCTAAAATGACTACCTCCCCTCAAAAGTTAATTAAACTCTTTATCCAAATTAGTCAAGTGTTCTAAATTTATCTGATAGCAACTGCCATTTAGATTTCAGAGGCTTGATATATACTTATTTCTAAAAATTTATCATGAACAAAGGTTTGAACATACTTTTGATGCGTTCAATTAATGCATAAATTAAAAAATAGACTGATCTTTACAATAATAGTAATCCAATATAGTTTATGAATATATTTAGATAATTAATTGCTCTCTATTTAATTTTGTATTGATTTCAAAAACATTTCTTTAAATGATATTAAGGGGTTTTGGGGTTTTGGGG